GGGGTCCTCTCGCCGCGCGCAGAACGACCCCGTTTTCAAAAAAAATAAAAAATAATTCTGGGCGTTTTTTTGGCCCGCCTTGTTTACCCCCCCCCCGGCCCAACCGACCGGGCCGAGCCCAGCCGGGCGGCGTCCTCACCCAGTTGCTTGCTCCATTTCATATGTACATCGGCGGTGCCAGAGGGCCCAAAGAATGGTCCTCCTTCCTATCTTGTATAGATTCATAATGAAATCATTCATCTGAGAAGGGTTTCATGTTTCACATAAAAGGGCTTTCCAATCCCACGACCATTGTTGGGTGGTAATTATTTAACTCCAGATCCTGTTCCACCATCTCCACAACCATACCGCCCTTGGGCATTGGAGAAAGATATGTTCTATGGTTTCCGGTATTTGTCGAGAAGGGAAAGCCGATGAGCAAAGTTTACACCAGGGTAAGACTAATCCCCTCTGCTCTAAGGAGGTTCTGTCAATAATCCAATCATTTGTTGGCAGACATCTGTGGTCAATCTGCCATTGTAGGGAGGCGACCTTGGTTGGTTTACTTTTAGCGGTCTTGAACCATTTAATTGAACGTAGGGAGTCTTTGATGATGTTCAAATGTTTCATCCAGCGAGGTTGCACTCTATCCTTTAGGTGCAGCGAAGGTCTCAACATCCGATAGGTTGACCTTACCGATAGGGTGTGAAGGGATCGTGAACATAGACGTTTCTTTCCCATAGATATAGTCCATGTCCACGTGGCAGGATCCAGTGGGAGCTTATCAATTGAGATGTGTGGCTTGAAGGCCAACCATTTGTCTTTGTCTTGTATCACCCTTATTCTGAGTACCTCATTCACTTGAAATGCTTTGGTCACTTGTGGTTGAGGACACTGAAGTACATGATTATGCCCCAGGGAGAGTAACTGGAGAATGATTTCCCCTTCCTCTTCCACCAGTACTACGTTACCAACCTGTTGGGCGTTGCCATGTAAACCCATCCAGTCTCCTTCCTTGATGCTTGAGTCTGTTTTGAGTATCCTTACCCAATCTAGAGGGATTAACTCGATTAGAGTTTCTAGTGCATCCGCTGTGCTTCTGCAATAACGTAAGTTGGGTTTAATTTGAGATGAGGTATACTATTTTTTGGACTCCTTACTCCAAATATCACCTATTCTAAATATCCTATTTTTCAGCCACCCCTTCCAATGCGACTCCATACATTGCAACGAGCGACCCTGAGAGTCCTCGATCCATCTGTTGTTGAAAAGTGGTTGTTGGCAGACCTCTTCCCACCTATTTGAAGGCTTCTTGTTATGGAGTGGTAGTTTGCGCCATGTTATAAGAAGGTTCGGCCAGAAGGGATAATTTTTCATATCCAATCTTGCTGCAATTCTGTTCGAGACTTCCCCATGGGTGGTTTTCTGTGAACGTCCTCGTGGAATGGTTCAATGCCAGTTTTCTAGCCACGTCATTGGGTTTGTGCCATCCGAGCTTTCCGACGCCAGTCTAGCTATTTGTTCCCAGGCCAGAGCTTGCCACGGTGTCTGCGGATTAAAAATCAGCCTTTTTATCCATTGGATAATTAAATTGGCTACCTCATTTCCTTCAATTTTTACCTCCTCCCATGCTAGTACACACCTTTTGTACCATAACACCCATAGGATTGCTTTTCTTTCCAGATTGAACAAGTTTTCCTGGAAGATAGTCAAAAGTAAACATCAGTGGAATCCAGTGTCCCAAAAGTAATGCATGCCATTCCCATGGCCAGTCCAATCCCGTTAGTTTTCTCCAGACATAGGGCCTCGTTAGACCATCGTTGGAAATCCAATTGTTAGGAAATCGCCATCGTTACACCGCGTCCTAATTCACCAAATTCCTTGAATGAATGTGAAAACGCTCCCGAAAGATTTCCTTGGATTCCTCAGAATCCCCACCCAAAACGTCCTTGGATTCAAGGGGTCCTCTCGAGGTCCCTTGGGTTCAAGGAGCTGTGATTGACGAAGTGTTATGGAGCGAGCGCCGACAAGAAAATTTGGAGTCGATGTTGGTGCACAGGTCGTCGGTGGTCCATTACGCGGACATCGCCGGCCTCCAGTACCCGACGAGCCCCAATGACCTTCCACCGTTACCGTTGGTGTGAAAATGCGTCGGGGTGGTTCTTCAACTGTAAGGCGCTTCACGAAGCAGGGTTTTTCATGCGCGCGTTGCCGACCGTGGTGTCCAACGGTCGAATTTTTTTATTTTTCTACAAGCGATGTTGAAGCACTGTCGATCAATTGCAGTCATCTGCCTAGCGTGTTTTGTCAGCTATTGTCGGGCGCATTGATGCAAGCTTTGTTTGGTATATGCCTCACATGCTGCCATTCATGGAAGATGTCCTCCGGTGGTTCCCGCTCCTGCTGCTGACCACTCTTTTCCAGGTCCTTGTCGTGTTGTTCCACGTGTGCGTCATTGTGTGAGGTCCTTGCAACAGACAAAACCACTGAACGGTGAGGAAGACGACAACGGACAGGCGAAAAACCTCCAGCAGATAGCCGACGCTCGCCATTGACTACTCCACTCCGCAACTTCTCCCTATAGTAGCCCTCTATCGTGTCGTCAACCTGTCGGAGATCCTTCAATATCCCTCCTGTCCTTCTCTTCATCCACCGTCTCGGCGTCGCCCGCGGGATCACACCCGATGCCATGGCGCAACAGAATTGCACAATGGATTCCGATAACGACACACAATCGGGTGCATCCATCACTTGTTGCATCAACTGCCTCTGCGTGAGAACGAACAATCTCATCCTCAGGCGAGTTGTTGTTCTCTCAATGCGATAACACATGGCAACAACTGATACAGTTGCGACCACCGTGTTTTTCTCCAATGCCGTTAATGCCTTTGCACCACCCGGGAGCTCTCGTTCCATCGTGAGGACTTGCAATGTGCAAGCACCCACCACTCGTTCGTCCTTCGGCGCCCTCGCTGCACCTTCTACACGTTGATGGGGACCACACTCGCACTCTCCGTTTCACTGAAGCGTTACGTCCGCGCTAAGCTGTGACGGCCCAAGGAGCATGCGGAACACGAAGGCGACGTCGCAGTAGAGAACCGTTACGCATGCATGCTACGTCGCCCAACATTCCAATGCCCTCCTTTTAAGTCATGACCGCCATCACTCCTCTGCACAAATGTTTCTCCCCAGTCTCCAGTCCAGCCGCCAGGACGCCTCATACACGGATGTGTCACGACGGAGGGTTCAAAATTTGAAATTGGAACGAGGATGTTGGCGCCCTTTTTTTTCGTCATCCCGGTAGGCCTCCCTGTCGCCGCCACTGGACCACGCCCGAAGACGCACGGACATCCCAGCACGATGACGAACATCCACCCCCGCGACCGCGTGTATGCATACGAAATTGGCCGTTGGGGACGTCCAAGGGTGTTCCTTGGGATCCTTTGAATTAGGACGCGGTGT